ATTAATAAATGATACAAGAAGAAAAAGTACCAAGTGTTATAAGAAATTGTGGTAGTGGAATCTGACCTAGTCTAGAGGAGGATCTAGACTAGTCAGAATGACTCTTGAGGTCATTCTGAAGGATGAATCCGAGTGAACTTATAAGAAGGCAGGACAGGTGTGCTAAATAGGGAAATATTCCAGGCAGAGGGAATAGCATAAGCAAAGACTATGGTTGGTAGGAGTTTCCCTACTGCGTGAACTGAAGATGTTAATATGTGAACCTCACTACCACTTAAAAATCCCAAGAACCATGTATTTGAAATGCTAGAATCCACCATAGTTTGGAGCTCTGTCTCCTCCTCAGCTTCTGATCCCCATTTGTCCTGGACAATCCATGGCTGGCAAGAAGATCATGACCTAGCCCAGCATTTCAAACTCTCTCCCAAGGCTCTTGTGTAAGAACAAGAGAAAAACTTCCATTATTTCCAAACAGAGTAAGGAACCCTAACTGCCAGCCTCATTCTGGAGACTGTTAAATCTCTTGAATTTGCTTCCTAGAAACATCAATCCAGTGAAGAGATTCCAATACATTGGGACCAGGGACCGGTTAAGCAGCTTGTGGGAAAGAACTTCAACGTAGTTGTCTTTGACAAGGAAAGGGATGTGTTTGTGATGTTCTGTAAGTACCTCTGCAGAGGCAAATGGGAAGCCATGCTCCAATAATATTACTTTTCAAATATTGCTCTTGAATTCTTGGGCATTCAAATTTCCAGAGCCCATCCAACAGCATACAAAGATAGTCTTCAGGGACCCAAAAGTTTGGATTTGGATGCAATCAGCTGTAATGTGATGCTCTCCCCCAAATCTAATTATTGGACACTATGGAATATCTTCCACATAATCCAAACTTTGGCTATTTATAACAATAACAATGCTGATGGCTAACATTGATTGAATGCTGCAGTATGTCAGACCTCATGCTGAGCTGTTGTTGTTGTTGTTGTTGTTATGTGCCATCGAGTTGTCTTCAACTCATAGTGACCTTCTGAACAACAGAACAAAACACTGTCTGGTCCTGTGCCAGCCTCACAATCCCTACTATACCTGAGCCCATCATTGCAGCCACTGTGTCAATCTATCTTGTTAAGGGCCTTCCCCCCTTTCCAAGCATGACATCCTTCTCCAGAGAATGGTCCTTTCTGGCAACATGATTACAAAACAGGTGAGCTTGGCCATTCTTGCTTCCAATGAGCTTTCCTTCTGCACTTCTTCCAGGGCAAATTTGTTAGTTCTTTTAGCAGTTCATGATACTTTCAACATTCTTCGCTAACACCACAACTCAAAACCACCAACTCTTCTTTGGTCTTCCTTATTCATTGTCCAGCTCTCACATGCATATGAGGCTATTGAAAATACCATGGCTTGGGTTAGGTGCATCTTAGTCTTCAAGGAGATGTCATTGCTCTTCAGCACTTGAAAGAGTTCTGTTGCAACAGAGTTGCTCAATGCATACGTCTTTTGATCTTTTGATTGCTGCTCCCATTGACATTGATTGGAGAAGCAAGTAATATGAAGCCTTTGACAACTTCAATCTTTTCTCCATTTACCATGATTCTGCTTATTTGTCCAGTTGTGAGGATGAAGAAAGCAAAAGGCCATTAAAAAGATAGGAAAGGAAGAAAACACCAAAATGGATGTCAGAAGAGACTGTGAAGCTTGCCCTTGAATGAAGACTAGCTAAAGCAAATTGAAGAATTGACAGGATAAAAGAGCTGAACAGAAGATTTCAAAGAGAAGCTTGAGAAGACGAAGTCAATTATAATAATGAAATGTGCAAAGACCTGGAATTAGAAAACCAAAAGGGAAGAACACGCTTTGCATTTCTCAAGCTGAAAGAACTGAGAAAAAATTAAGTCTCAAATTGCAATATTGAAAGATACCATGGGCAATATACTGATTGATGCAGGATACATCAAAAGAAGATGGATGAAATACATAGAGCCACTATACGAAAAAATTGATAGATGATCATCTATTTCAGGAGGTGGCATATGATCAAGAACCAATGGTACTGAAGAAAGAAGTCAAAGCTGCACTGAAGGAATTGGCAAAAAACAAGGCTCAAGGAATTGATGGAATACCCATTGAGGTGTTTCAGCATATGGATGCTGTGCTGGAGGCACTCACTCAGTTATGCCAAGAGATTTGGAAGACAGCTACCTGGCCAACTGACTGGAAGAGATCCATATTTGAACCCATTCCAAAGAAGGGTGATCCCACAGAATGTGGAAATGATCGAATGATATCATTGATATCACACACAAGTAAAATCTCACTGAAGATAATTTAATAATGGTTGCAGCAGTATATTGACAGAGAACTTCCAGAAATGCAAGCTGGATTCAGGAGTCATGGAGCAAAGGATATCATAGCTGATGTCACATGGATGTTGGCTCAAAGCAAAGAATACCAGAAAGATGTTTACTTGTGTTTTACTGACTATGCAAAGGCATTGCGATTGTGTAGATCATAGCAAATTGTGGATAACATTGCGAAGAATGGAAATTCCAGAACACTTAATTGTACTCATGCGGAGGCTGTCATTCACCTAGAACAAGGGGATACTGCATGGTTTAAAATCAGGAAGGGAGTGCATCAGGGTTGTATCCTTTCACCAAACTTACGCAATTTGCATGCTAAGCAAATAATCCTAGTTGCTGGACTATATGAAGAAGAATGTGGCGTCAGGATTGGAGGAAGGCTCATTAACAACCTGAGATACGCAGATGACACGACTTTGCTTGCAGAAAGTGAGGATGACTTGGAGCACTTACTGATGAAGATTAAAGACTACAGTGTGAAGTATGGATTACACCTCAATATAAAGAAAACAAAAATCTTCACAACTGGACCAATAAAAAGCATCACAATAAATGGAGAAAAGATTGAAGTTGTCAAAGACTAGCTGAACTGTTACCATTTCACTCAATCTTTAGACTGTTCTTTGGAAAGTAGCTATTATTCCTACTCTGCAGGTGATTAAACACAGTCTCAGGAAGGTAGCGAAACTTTCCCAAAGACTTATAAAGTGCTGGAGCTGGGACATGATGGTTAAGTGGCAGTTTGAATCCACCAGCTGCTCTGTAGGAGAGAGACCTGGCAATGTACTTCTATAAAGATTTCAGCCTTGGACCCTATGATACAGATATTCTCAGTCTTATAGGGTCACTATGAGTCAGAATTGGCTTGATGGAAACAGATTTTTTTTTTGGGGGGGTGGCGGTTTAGTTTTAGTCTGTCTCCAGAATCCATGCTTATAGCTACTATACAGAAGCCCCTGTTTCTGGCTTTATGCGACTTATCACATATTCCATATTTAACCTATCTGAGTTGGTGTGGCCAAGGCAGGGACCCAAGCCATGGATGTAAAGGACTTAGCACACAGTTCTTCCATATTATAAACACTTGATGAATGGCAGTGGGAATTCTGTTGCTATTCCCATTGTTACAATCATTTCTGGTGCTCACAGAAGGACTGTTGTCTTTTCTCCCATTTGTGGTGTGTATGGGAGAAGCAAGCCAGGGGCATTCTGTCCTGTCCTGAGACACAGAGGAGGGTGACATTGAAGTTATTTCAGACAAACATTTTATTTTTACAGGAGGAGTTATCATTACTGAGCACTAACAATGAACCAGGCATGAGTTTGCTTTTGACATATGTGCGCTCCTTTCCTCCTCACCACAAGCCTGTGGGGAATTTATCTTAATTCCCCAGTGCTGCTATAACAGAAACATCACAAATGGGTGGCTTTAGTGAACAGAAATTTCTTTTCTCACAGTTTAGAGTGACTAGAAGTCCCTGGCTCTAGGGAAAGGCTCTCTCTGCTCTGGGAGAGAATCCCTGTCTCACTTTCACTCGCGTTCTTCTTGACACTTTTTGGAGATCTCCACATGGCAGGTAGCTTTCCCCTCTGTGTTTCCTTAATTCCATGCCTAAAGATCTCTTTCATATCTCAAAAGTGATTGGCTTAAGACACCCTGCACAGATATGTCCTTATTAGCATAACAAAGAAAACCCTATTCTCAAAAGGGATTACCTCCATATGTACAGGGATTAGGATTTACCACACACATTTTTTGAGGACATAATGCAATCCATAACAAAATATCTGATGGCTTTCACCATGATATAGGCCAAGGGCCTCAGAGAAATTAATTATTTTATTCCAGGTCACATAGCAAATATGTGGCAACAAGTTCAAAGGGAGTTCTGATGCCACCACTTCTGTGAGGGTAAGACAATGGCTTGACTGCATCATTCAGGCCTTTCAAATCTCACTGAAAGGGCTCTCAGGCACAGGATGAGGTGATTAAGATCTGTGTGGCTGAATAATCATGATCAGCTGCCTTTCAATGAGAGGCTGGAACAGCCTTTCTGTACTTACCTGGCATTCAGAGGTAGGAGAATGCTTATTTGGTTCTTATAAAAGGCCAAAGCAGTCTCATTTTCTCAGAAACAGGACTGTCAGATTGGCCCCCTGGGACTGCAGCCATTATGCCCCTTCCTGTTCCAAACCAGGGCCACCTGGCTCCAGAGGGCTGATGGGTTGTTGTTCAGATGGAATGGAAATGGAGGCACTTGGTTAGTAAATGGGGGATGATCACCCAAATGTAGTTTCCAGGGCTTTTGAGGTCATTCTGCCCACAAAGCCAGAAAGTTTGAGCTCCAGGCTTGAGAGGAAGGAGGAGTAGGCACAATTTGGTTTCCCTTTCTTGTTGGATCTGCGTACTGATTACTCGCTAGAGGACTGGGTATTTTGGCCAGACTCAAAGCTCAAGGAACTGTCCACAGAAAGTCCAGTGTTAGTTGTACTTGTCACAAGTTCCAGTTTACTTCTTGGGTGTGTTCTTCTCCACTGGAATGAAAGGCAGTGTTGCGTAATGGTCACAATTCCCAGCAGCCTGTCTTCAAATCCCACCTCCTCTGCTTAATAACTGGATGGTTTGGACAAGTCGCTTAACCTCTGTTGAAGAACCCTTCTGCTAACATGCATTACACACACACACCCACACACCCACACACACCACACAGGCTTACATGCTTTTTGGCAGAACATAAGGAATCACCTACAGTAAATATGTTTCTTGCTTTTCTCCTTCAACAGGAGTTGAAAACTATTAAAATAAACAACAAAGATTAGAAGAAAACACCCTAACACACTAAAGTGTTTGTGTCTGAGTGGAAAGGGACTAACCTACTGTCATTGAGTTTATTCCTACTCAGAGCGACCCTATAGGACAGAGCAAAAATGCCCCAGAGGGCTTCCAAGGCTGTGAATCTTTACACAAGCAGACTGCTTCATCTTTTCCCACAGAGTAGCTCATGGGTTTGAACTGCTGACCTTTTGGTTGTCAGCTGAATGCTTTAACCAATTGGTTTTTCTAATTTAGTTAATAATCATTAGGATTATGTTTAATGAAAAAAAGTTATATAATACACCATTAAAGTAAGAGTGCAATTTTCAAAGCAGCAGAAATATGAGTAAACTCACGGTTGTCAGAGTCATATCTATGGAATAGCAGATATGTGCCCTGGGTACCACCTGAAGGAGTGCCATTGAGCAGTTTCTATTAACTATCACAGTTATCATTGTCAGCTGTGAGAGATCATCCAGCAAGTTAAAACTAATACTTTCCTTTTGGAGAGCCTGCATGGGTCAAGGCAGACTGTGTAATCTTGCTCTGTTGAGTGTAGAAAGGGAAGAAACTGAAAAAAAAAAATTGCTTTGAACACATCATAGACCAATTTTCACCAGTGAAAGCCACGAAGGTGTAATTGTAATTTTCACATAGTGCCATAATGTGTTAATAAGTAAAAGATGAACAAGCTTGACTTGTATTTTTGAACTGATATTATAGTAATTATCTAAAATATGGGTGTTAGATGTTTGGACAGGGATGCAATTTCAGTGCTTGCCATAGACTCTATTTTCCATAGATATGTCTCTGGTAGTGATGGAAATGGTTGGGTGGCACTGGCTTCTAGAACCTTCATTGGTGTGAGCCTGAGCAATAGCTCTTCTCTTCCAGATGCACCCTGGTCTGAAAAGTGCAAGGCACTGTTCCCACTGTTGGAAGAGTTGGGCAGAAAGTATCAAAATCATTCTACAGTCACCATCGCCAAGATTGACATCACAGCAAATGACATTCAGCTGCTGTATCTGGACCGGTATCCATTCTTCAGGCTCTTCCCCATCGGCTCTGAGCAAGTAAGGGGCTCCTTGGATGCACATATCTGACGATGTGGTTGTATTGTCATCAGGGTCTTAGTTTCTCCCTTTCTTCAGCTCTGCCATCTGCTGAATGAGCTTCATTCTCAGCTCCAACCTCTATCATCCATCCATGTTCAAGTCCAGAGTATTTTCTAGTAGCTTCCACAAAAGTCCTAAGACTCACTATAGCTGAGTCCTGCTTAGATCAGTTGCCCATCCCTGATGGAATCATTGTGGCCAATGATTTCTGATAACCAATGAGTGTTTTTATTTATCCAGTCTGGGTACAAGGTTCTGATGTGGAGGCTGAACTTGAACATGACTATTTGGAATAAGGTGAGGGAAATCCATTTGAATATTGGGGGCAAGATGCTACCAGAAAAAGAAGAAATTCACACTAGAGATAAATAATGTCTTTTACATCTTGGAATTATAGTCATTGACCATCACCAGTGTTGACTGAGCACACTCTTCATGCCACTTAGATATGTTGGGGGGGTAATGTCAATCAAAGAAGCGCAAGAAAAGTCCTGCTCCAAAGAAGAGTATGGCTGAGTGTGGGCAAGAAGTCACCGTTTAGCCCATTTCTAAATACAATTGGAATTGAGGGGAGGGACAGATTCTGGAGGGCAGGTATGGCTGGAAGTCTTCATGCAGACACTGGAGCTTTGAAAAAGAGTAGGGATTTAAATCAGGTTAGAGGAGGAGATGTAACTAGAGGTAGAGAAGTAAAAAGGACAGGAGTATGACCAAAGAACTTTGAAGGAGTTGCCATTTTCCTCACACAGAAGATTCAATGGAGGAATACGGTGTAGTAAAGTACATGGTGTGGCTTTTCTAGCCCTAGCCTTTGTAAATTCTGTGGTGGAATTTGCTGTGAGCAACTGAGTAGCTCCTGATTATTAAAGTTACCCATCTGGTTTCTGTTGGGAGCAGCACAGAGTAATTTTCTGGGAAGTTCACTGTCTCTCAGGTGTGTAGAATTCTGATGTTGGAATTGGTTGGTTTGGCCACTCTGCCAGGCTCAAAAGGAGCCCTCCTAGAGGCAGAAGGAGTCTCTCTGACTGCTGGCTGAGAAAGATGTGTTACTGAGAGAAACACATTCCTGAGAGATACGCACTTACAGAGAGAGACATAAGAGACACGCGCTGCTAAGAGAGAGACTACTGGCTGCTAAGTGAGATGGCTGGCTGCGAGAGACTGAGTGAATTTCTGAACTTGAATTGTAGCCTATTGCTTCCCTAATAAACCCCATAATCTGTGAGTTCTGTGTGGCCACTGCAACGAATTATCAAACCCAGCAGAGAAGTGGTAGGTGTTGCAGGAGGAACGGTTGGTGTCAGGGTTGATGAAAGGGCTAGCGGGAGGCAGTATGTCTGGCCTTGCAGGAATAGGCCTTGGGCTACTGATGGTGATTCTGTCTCCCTCTTGTGGGGTTAGAGGAGGTCAGAAGATGTGGCCTTCTTGCCCCTTTGGCAGTGGGAGTCATGGCAAATGAGGCTGAAGTGAAAGGAAGGGTCTTAAGTCATCAGAAAAGGAGTATAGCTAACCAGTGGGCAGTAAACCACTTATTATCTTTCTTGAAGTTTGAAAGAAGAAAGGGAGGTTGTGATGACTGAGCACCCACCATGTACCAGATACTTTATGAAATAATAACAATTATTATCATTATTATTATAGTAATAGCAACAATTATTGTCATTATTATTATAGTAATAGCAAATACATAGACTGCTAACTATGACCCAGGCCCTGTTTTTTAAGTACCTTACACATAGTAACTCATAAATCCTAATAATAACCCTCTGAAGTAGTACTATTATTAAGGTTAAATGTCCTCTTCCTGGTCACCTATGTTATTAGGAATTTGACCCTGCATGCATAGATATATATGGAGATAGATCGATAGATAGATTGATAGAGCAATAGATAGATAGACAGATAGATAGATAGATAGATAGCATAGTGCCTAAGGCATTTGACTGCTAACCAGAAGGCTGGCAGTTCAAATCTGCCAGCCACTCCTCGGAAGGAAGATTAGGCAATCTACTTCTGTACTGCCTCAGAAACCCAAGGAATGGTCGCTATGAGTCAGATCCAACTCCATGGCAGTGAGTTTGGTTTTGATTTTTGGTTTACACCTATGGAACAATTCTTGAACATCTTGTAGGAAAAGGCCACTGTCCTGACTTTTCTGTTTCCTCCCTAGGCTGTAGTATATAAGGGAGAACATACTGTGAAGGGCTTTTCTGATTTCCTGGAAAGCCAAATCAAGACCAGAGTTGATGAAGAAGACGAGGTAAGAGGAAATAGCAACACTCTGAATTTCTGTCCTGCAAAGCATTACCAGGAACTTAATGGACTAGAGTAGAATTTGCCAAGATTTCTCATGATTTCTTCTGCTCTGAAGATAGTTGAGGATGGATGGTCAGCCACCAAGTTTGGGTGGCTTTACTAGTCACCTTATTTCAAGTGTAGTTATTGTGGGGAAGCAGAAATGGTAGGCTTTTAAAACATGGGGAAGGCCAAAAGCTCTCCCGTAGCTCTTACAGGCTGCTTTCCTTGGTCTACAGTTACTGAGAGAGCAATCAGATGCTTAGAAGGGGTCCTGCCTTCTGGTGTGATGGATGGCACCACAATTCCCCCTCCCTCAATCTTGCCTCTGTGAGGCCATCTTCTGGAAGGTGCCATCAGTATTAATCAGGACCCGTTCAATTACAAATGTTAGGAATACTACTCATTCATGTAAGCAATGGAGATTTATCTCATTTAACTGTAGACTGTCAGGCATGAATAGATTAGGAAGCTCAAACACTAATGAATATTAAGACAATCTCTCTCCCCTTCTCTGTTTTCTTTTACATTGGCTTCATTCTCAAGCAGTCTCTTTTCCCACGAAGTGCCAGCGATTTCTCTACAGTTCCAATCTAACATTCTATCACTTGAAAGAAACCACCTCATTCTCTGCGCCAGCAAATATCCTGGGCAAGGATCTCATTGGCTAGCCTTGGGTCACATGTTCAGCCCTGGTGAGGCAGAGTTACCTAGGAACTTAGAATGGGGGAGGGGTGGTTCCCCACAGGTGCTCTTACCACAAGGGTAAAACCCATAGTCAGATACTCCCCCATCCAAGCCAAATGTACCTTTTACAGTTGGGAAGCTCTCTAAGCCAAGAACTGATTCTTTCTGGGCACTTTCTCCCGGAAAAGGAGGTTTTGACCGTTGCAGTCATAATCATCTATTTTTTCCCTCCTTATTTCTTTGTGTTCTTCTTTCCTCCATTCTTCTTCTTCTTCTTCTTCTTCTTCTTTTTAAAATAGATATTGTCTGTTGAGCAAAGTGAGCTGTTAGAAGAGAACATATTGCCTGAGGAAGAGGCAGAATCTTTTGAGGAGAAAGAATTACCTGAGCAGAAGTCACCTGAGCTGGAGAACATGACCAGGCTGGAAGGGCCAGCTGGGCAGAAGGAACCAGTGGAGGAGCTGGAACCTCGTAAGCCAATGGGACCTCCAACACAAGAGAAGAAACCAAGAGTCAAAGAAGAACTTTAGCTTCTCCAAAGCCAGGGGAGAAGTGGCCATCTTCCAGGTCATGGCATAATTTTCCAAGTGGATCTTCTTCAATAAAATTATATGTCATTGTGGTGGGTTGAGTAGAGGCTGGATAATAAAGCCCCTGAATGTCTTTAACTCTTTTTTACTCATTACCTCTTTTTCCTGGTCGGTGTTGCCTTAGAAGAGCTGTTTATCTTGGAATTAAGATAGAGCTGCATGAGAAACCATAATACCAACATTTAATAATTGCTTACAAGATGCTGGACATTAATCTAGTTCTCATAACAGCATAGAGAGGTAGGTTACATTATCTTCATTTTACAGATGAGGAAACTGAGGCACAGAGAGGCTAAGTGACCACAGGATCACATAGCTAGAAAGCTGTTGACATTTGATCTCAGGAAATCTCTTGCCAGAGGCTATGCACTTAACTGTTATGCAGCACAGCCTCATTCTAGGTTGGAGTTCTCAGAGTTCGAGGAAATCTTTTGAATCAAGGGAATTGATTTACTTAAGCTGCATTTTGGGCCAGTAAGTAAGAGAATCAACACTAGACCTCTTTCTCAGCCATCTGCATCTCAGTAAATGACCCACTCACTCAAGCAACAATCCTAAGATCATCCCACAATTCCTGTCTTTCCCTTTGCTACCATATACAAACCTTGTGACTTCACCCACTTCCCTCCACCTGCCTCCTCCCACTTCCACCAATCTCTACAACATCACCCACCATTCTCAATTGCTGAAGTTTCCTAAGTGGTCTCTTTGTTACCATTCTGTACCTCCTCCTCCCTCTGCCAAAAGGAAATCCATATTCCACAAGGCTGCTGGGGCAATCTTTTTAAAAGCCATGGCCATGAGCACTAAACATCACTACCTTGTTTTAACCCTCAAATAGCATCTCATTGTTTTTAGAATAGAATCCAGTCTCCTTACCATGCCTTCAAGGTCCTACAGATCTCTTCCTCCTCTCTCCCTCCTCCTTGCTAGGCTCCAGACATGCTGCCTCTCTATTCCTTGAACAAGCCAAGCACTCTCTCTCTCCATCACTGTTCCCTTTGCCTAACTGCATTCCCCCCAGATCTTCAGGCTGCTGCTTCTTTCTCATCATTCAAATCTCAGCACAAAAGTCACCACCTCAGAAAGGCCTTTCTGGATCCCAGTGTTTGAAAGCATTTTCTTATTTTGTTGTATACTGCAGTTTTGCCCTCTTCCACCCCTAGCTATAAGCCCAAGGAGAATAGCCATATCTCTTTTCTTCTCCACTGGATTCCTAATGCCTAGAATTCAGATTGGCACATAGCAGATGCTCAATAATTATCAGTGAATCTAGCAAAAGAAATTCCATATCAGATAGCACTCTTACCTCCAAGAAATACATGATTTCAAAGTTACCCCATGAGAGGGAGGTGCTAACTGTGTTGCCTCAGATCCAAACTGGACTGTTAGTTTCCTGATGCTGCTATAACAAAATACTACTGAAGTAATGGCTTAAAACAACACAAATCTTCTTTTACAGTCCTTTTGGTCAGAAGTCCGAAATGTATTATTATTATTTACTTTTATTGTGGTGAAAACATACACAAAAAGACAGTCACCAACATAACAACTTCCACATTTAGAACTCAAGGACATTGATTACATTTTTCATGTTGTACCACCATTATTGCTATCCTATTCCAAAATATTCCACCACCTATTGGCATAAACTTAATGCCCCCCAAACAAAAGCTTCCCCTTTCCACCTCCCTCCTACCCCGGTTATTGTTGTTGTTATATGCCGTCGAGTCGGACCTGACTCATAGCGACCCCTCCTTGGGTTTCCGAGGCAGTATCACTACGGAAATAGGATTGCCCAACCTTCCTTCCGAGGAGTGGCTGGTGGGTTTGAACCACCAGCCGTCTGGTTAGCAGGCAAGTGTCTTAGCCACTGTGCTACCAGAGCTCCCTAGTAACCACTAAAAATCTTTGCTTTCTGTATATATAGGAGCTCTGCTGGCATAGGGCCTAAGGCATTTGACTGCTAACAAGAAGGCTAATGATTCAAACCTACCAGCCACTCCTCAGAAGGAAGATTAGGCAATCTACTTCCATAGTGATACCACCTCAGAAACCCAAGGAGGGGTCGCTATGAGTCAGATCCAACTCGACAGCAATGAGTTTGGTTTTTTTGGTTTCATATATATATATTCAACCTACCTAGAAATTTCCCCTCCTCTTCCCTCCCATCCCTGATAACCAACAAAGAAAGTTTCCTTCTATGTGTAAACCTTTCCTTGACTTATTATAATAGTGGACAAATACAATATTTGTCCTTCTATGATTGACTCATTTCACTCAGCATAATGTCATCTAAGTTCATCTGCATCACGTGGTGTTTTACAGATTCTACATTACTCTTTAGGGTTGCATAGTATTCCATTGTGTGTAGATACCACAGTTTGTTTATCCATTCTTTATTTGATGGGCACATAGGTTGTTTCCCTCTCTTTGCTATTGTGAGTGGTTTTGTGATGAACATGGGTGTGCATATATCTATTTGTGTTCTGGCTCTCACTTATTTAGGATATATACCTAGCAATGGGATTGCTGGATCAAATGGTATTTCTATTTTCAACTTTTTAAGGAATCGCTGTACTGATTTCCACAGTATTTGTATCATTTTACAGTCCCACCAACAGAGTCCAAATCTCTCTACATCTTTGCCAGCACTTGTTATTTTCTGTCTTGTTGACTTTGTTATCAATGCTGGGGTGAGACGGTATCTCATGGTTATTTTGATTGGCATATATCTAATGGCAAATGATCAAGAACATTTCATGTGTTTGTTGGCTGCCTGAATATCTTCTCTGATGAAGTATCTGTTCATG